TCCCGCCAGTGGCAGCTGCTTCCCTCAGGCTATGGGGCCACCTGCAGAGCCTTCTTCCTGAACATCCTCAGGAGCCTGGCCATCCTGGAACTGAGCGGGGAGCGGGCGTGAGTCTGGGGTCAAGGCAGCCTCTCACTAACCAGCCTGTTTGGTCCCTCCCCATCCCTGCCCCAGCCAGAGCAGCTCTTCCTCCCCCCACAGCGGTGCACGTAATGCAATCTACACGCACTGGCAGGAGTTCATTGCATGATCTGCTCCCAGCGTTCCCCCTCGCCACCCCTGGGGCTGCAATGCCCGGGGAGTCTCCTCCTTTTCCATCACTGGGTTCAGTCACTTTGGACAAGCAGCTCCCTCCTGCCATCCCAGGCCACACTCCCCCCCAGGCTAGAGAAGGAACAGAACCCAGGAGTCCGGACTTCTCCTGGGAAACCATTCCCCACGTCAAAGTCCCGAGGCAGAGCAAGGCCAGGGCCCCCGCCTTTCCCATTGATTTCCATGCTCAGCAGCTCACAGGGTCTGGCCCAGCTCAGAGACGCTCAGCCTGGGGAATGGTCTCCCACAAGGGAAGGGTTGGGAGCCCCATTGCTGGGACCTTTCCAAACACACTGGAGACGGCTCTGGAGAAGTCCCTCCCCGGTCTGAGAGCGAGGGGCTCCTGGGGGCGGTTTGCAAATCCAATCTCCTTTGGGAGAGATTCTTTCCCCCTCTTTCTGCCTCTCCCCATTCAAACAGGGGACTCCAACGGGGAACCCTAATGCCACTCACTTGCTCTGCTGACGGAGCGATGGATGTAGAATGTTCAGTGTCATCCCTCGCCCTTCTCCTCACTCCCCAAAGCCAAGGCAGGCTGGAGAGGGTGGTGGTGACTTGAGGAGTTCCCCTGCCCAGCCAGCAGGCAGGGGGATAGCACTGGGCGATCGACTGGCTGTGAAAACAAGAGTCTATCTTATTGCCAAGGGACAGAGAAACTCAGCCAGCAGCAGGGGGTGCAGAACACTGGCCTAATGCGGGGGTGACAGCACCTCCGGGATCCTGACATCCCCGCTCTTTTCCCGCCCTCCTGGAGCCCCCCACCCCCCCTGGGCGGTTTTGGC